TGTGTGTGTGTGTGTGTGTGTGTGTGTGTGTGTGTGTGTGTGTGTGTTGAGGTGGGGGGTGGGAATAGTCTGTATCTGGATGGATACTACAGCAGAAAACTAGCTGCATTTGGGAAGGACTTTCAGATTAAGTCTCAGTCCTCTTGGAGGGAAGTGGGCTGTTCTGAATAGGGAGCTGTCCTCAGAGTAAGGAAGACCTAGCCTTAAGTTCTATATCTGATACATAGTGACTGTGTGATGCTGGGCAAATTACTTTATCTCTTGGATAAAGTGGAAACTCTCTAAGACTATCAGAGGGGACCTGCACTGAGGTTCTCACCGGAGAGTTCCCTCTACTTATGAAATCAGTCCCTATTAGCGGGAGGAGGGAGAAAGGCAGTGGCATATTAGGATTAACCAACCACCACGTGTATACTGGACAGGATCAGAAACGTGAGGGTGTGGTGTTAGTGTGTATGGGGAAGGGGGAAATTAGGGTGGGAGGTTGTGCCTCTCTCTATCCCCCTGTCTCTTTCCCCACAGCTCCAGGGGGAGCCGTGTAACATGAGGAGGCGTGTCCAGCTCCGCTGCTGCCCCCATCTCAAAGACCCTAGGGGTTAGGGATGGAGATGGCTGGGGCCCCCTGCTCCCAGCCCCCCCCCCCACACCAGTGAATGTTCCCCTTCTATATGAGCTGCCTGTGCCCCAAACTGGACTCGTCACCCCACAGGGAGTGCCCAGGGCCCAGAGCATTGAGCCCCCTTGGGGGCCAGGGCTGGCCCCCCTTCCCTGAGGCTTCTGCAATAAAATCCACTTCTATTCCTCCTCATGGACCCAGGCATCCAGTCCCCTGGTCCCCTCCTAGGACCCAGACATACACTTCTTGCCTTGCCTCCTTCCTAGAATCCAGGCATCCACTCCCTCAATTCCTCCCCAAGATCCCAGGTACCCAGACCATCCCCTCACCCTCTGCTGCCCTCCTGGGACTCAGGCATTTGAGCCCTGACCCCCTGTTTGTTACCTTCTGAGCTCAATAAATGTGGATTCAGGGTTTTTTCCCTCTGGTCTCTCTGTGTCCTTCCTGGTTCTTGTTTGGGGGGGGAGAGGAAAGAATAAAATGAGTCACCCCCCCTTAAGATAATGGGGAGAGAAAATGGGAGAATCCCAAGGACCCTGTATCTCCTCCTTCCCCCCTCCTCCCAACCTGACTGTCCTGGTCATTTTCTCTATTAGAGAACTTGTAGAGACTTCCAAGATGTCCACCCCTGTCCCGCTTCCCCGCAGGGCATCTCTTATACCTCACCCTCACATTCTCCCATACTGGGGTGTCCCCCACTCTACCCCTGCGTAGTCTCTCTCTGGCTCCCGCCCCTGGCTTTGAAGCCAGGAAGCCAAAGAGGAAATGACTCTCCCAGTCTTGGCCCCCGCCCGCCCCGTTCTCACACCCCCCTCCCACCTCAGCTCCCCACCCCGCCCTGCCTGTCCCCACCAGGCCAAGGCCACCAGCTCCGGACCCCCCAGCTCCAAGGTAAAGCCCTCTTCTGCAGCCGTGGTCTCTCTTTCCCCTGGTCTCTAGGGCAGGGGGGAGGGGTTGAGATTTTCTGCCCATCACCTCCTGGAGCTGGGCCCTTTCTCCTCTATGCCCATGTGTGTCTGTCTGTCCCTTTCTGGGTCTGTGGCTCTCCTCCGAACCCTCTTTTCCCCTCTGCTTCTCCTAGCTGCCTCTGCCTGCTCTGAATTCTTCTGTCTCTCAGTTATTCCCTCCAGGCTCCCTTGCTGGTCTCCGAATTATCTCTGCCACCTCTGTTCTTCCCCATCCTCTCCCCTTTCTCTGCTCTCTCCCCTTCTCTCTTTCCTATTAGATTTCTTTTCTGTTTCAAGTATCTCCCACCTAGTTTGGCTCTCCCTTGCCTCTTCTCTCTCTCTCTCTCTGTTCTTCTTTCCCTTTCCCCATGGCTCCGGCTCTGACTGCTCCCCCTTTCTCTACCCTCCCGCCCCCCACTCCAGCCAGCTCATTTTTTCCTGTGAGAGCAGGAGCCCAGTTACTCATGTTGCCTCTCTGCCCTCCCTCCGGTTGGGCTCCTCAGCTTCGGGGCGGGGGCGGGGCGGGGAGAGACCCCAGAGAGAAGGCGAAGGAAGTGAGCCCGTGCATCCCAGCTCCTTTCAGTTTCACCCTGGCCCCCTGACTGGGGAAGGGATGGAGAACTTTGTGCTTGACTTGAAAATGAAGTGGAGAAATGGGGGTATGAAGACGAGGGCCCGTCTGCTCTAAGCAAGCTGTTGCATCAGTGACTGCCAAACCCTCCCTAAGCTGGTTGCTTCCTGTTTCCTCTAGGGGAGCAGGGGGCGGGGTGGCTGAGATGGGGATGAATACAGGAGTGGGAGAAGTAGAGGAATTAATTTCCCCCCGCATCTCCCCACTTCCTCCCCCGGGGTCTCTGCAGAGGAAGGGCTTCTGGGAGTCAGACTGGTCTGTGATGTTCCTCAGAGACAAACCTGAGTCCAAATGCCAGACCCACAGCGCTCCCCAGATTCCACCCCTCCCAATTTCCAGCAGCCCCTACAGGAAGCTGGAGACCCCCTCCCCACACATCTCAATGCCATCACTGCCCTCCCCTACAGATGTCAGCTTCAGGCCATTTCTACTTCCTCTTCCTCCTCCTGGGCTTGGCCCCGTCTTCATGGACCCAAGGTGAGTCACACTACAGTTTCCCCTTCTCCAAGTATTCTCATCAGATTTCAGTAGTGTTTATTTTCTATCACTCCCACTGGGGCCGTATGCTCCCTGAGGGTGGGAACTGGGTCACTTCTTTTAGACCTCCGTCTTCCCAGCCATTCCTGCTTGTCCATCCCGTCCAGTTCTTGTCGATGTGCTCCCTTGAGTACAGTCCTGGGGTTCATGGAACGTGTGGTTTCTCTTGAGGCACATGAGCATGACAATTGGCTGTTACTCAATCTTTCCACTGCACTAACCCACCTTCCACCCCCCCCCCATGCATTTCTTGGAGGATGTCCTTTCCACAGCTTCTTCTTCCTAACTCCGTATTTGTATCACAGCCTACTCACGCCCAGCTGTGCACCTCTCCATAGCCCTTTGGGACGTCCCCCATTTCAATTCTCTAGCAAGCCTGCACGGGCTGCAGTCTGCATTGTTGGAGGAAATGCCCGCATTGATAAGAGCACAGAGCCACTGGAGTACCCCAGGACAGTGCCTTTTATATCGGATCCTAGATAGGGACCTCCAGGGCCATTTATCCCAATCTCCTTTTTACAAATGAGGAAACTGAGTCCAGAAAGGAAGTGACATAAGGTTATAGATTAGAGCAAGAAGGTACCTTAGAGTACATCTAGTCCTTACCCTTCATGTTACAGAAGGGAAAACTGAGGAAGCTAATGTGATTTGCTTGAGACCATACAGGTAGAAAAGGCCACGGGTAGGGATTCTAACCCAGATTCTCTGACTTCAGAGCCAACACTCTTCCCAGACCAGGAAGAAAAGAAGCATTTATAAAGTGCCTTCTATGTGCCAGGCACTGTGCCAAGTACTTTCCAAATGCCCATGGGGCAGAATGAATGGATTGGATTTGGATCAGAAGGTGTGAGGTCCAGCCTTGTTCTGCTCCTTCCTGCCTTTGTGAGATCTTGGTCAAGAAATGTCGCTTCTCTGGGCCTCAGTTTCCTCTTCTGTAAGATAGATAGACTAGATGAACTCAGAGGCCCTTTCCAAGTCTAGATTTATGGTAAAAGGGCCTCTGAGTTTGAATGTAGCTAAAGAAGAAATTTTTAGGAGGTTGGGACATTCCTTTTCTATCCCCAAAGCTACCAATGAGAAAGATTTGATTATATGGCTCTGCCCTGAGTAGGAGGTGGGTGGGCTAGGAAAGATGGTGGGGGTGGAAGGAATCCTAGTCGAACTCCTCTTCCCTCCCCCATTCACTACCCCCACTGGCCCCCCAGTTAGACATGTCCATGGCACCCCACTTAGGTACATCGATGGCCCCCTACTTAGACATGGAGCAGAAGAACCATTCAACCCCATCTGAGGAGCCCCTTGCTTCAAGCTTAAGCACAGGTGAGGGATAAATGGGGGAGTCAGGAGGGAAGAGACTTGGGGGAGTGGGCCTGGCAGATGTAGGGCTTACCACGGGGACTGCAGGGAGCCCCAGGAGATCTCTTCCACCAACTCTGCTCCACCCCCCAGCTCTAAGCCCAACCACCTCAGAGCTCCAGCTGACTTCGAGGGATCCCACCATGGATGGTGAGGGTAAGTGGGGTTCATGGGTGCTGGGGGAGGAAGAGGACCCCTGACCTGGCTTCCAGATGGCAACTACACACCCTTCTCCTGATTCAGCAGCAGATGGGCTGAAACTTGAGACTCTGAAGCCTTGACTAGACTTGTCCAAGGGCCAAAGGCTCTGGGGCCCCAAACCTTACGGGAGGGAGGACTCCAATCATTTCTCATGCCCCATTCTCCTGTTTCCTTGGGGGAAAGACACAGGCCAAACCCAGCCGGAGGATAAGATGGAAACGACCTCAGCAATGGGTAAGTGGGAGGGAGAGTGGGGAGCAGGGATGAAGGGCCCTGTGATTCTCATACTACGTAATTCAATCACCTTCTCCTCATCTCCTCTCTCCCTCACACATGGTGAGCCCTTCTACTGCCCCCTCTCTCCTCTAAATCTTCCCTGCCTTTCAAGGCCCAGCTCAAGACCCCCTAATTCAGGAAGCCTTCCCCCCCCCCTTTCCCCATGTGGGAGCAACATTTTCCCTCGTCAGATTTGTTTTGTTTTTATTCTAAGATTCAGTGTGTCTGGTAGATGGGGCACAGCTGGGTTTGGAGTCAGGAAGACCCCAGGTTCAAATCTTGTCTCTGACCTTTGGGGTCACAGGTTTAGAGCTGGAAGATACCTCCAAGGCCGTCTTGAGGTCCTCATTTACAATTTAGAGAATTGAGCCTCAGGGAGAAGAAAGTTGCCCAAGGTGAACTTTGCTCTTTCCCTTCAAAATTTGACTTTCTAACTGTGCTCCCCTGAACCAGTGACTCCTCCTCCCTGGGCCTCACCTACTGAATCGGTGGGAGGTCCCCCTTCTGAAAACTTCCATTTTTGCGTATTATTCTCTTCTCAGCTTAATGACCATCAGTGGATACAAACATTCTAATGCACAAACGGACTCTGGATTCTCACTGTAAAACTCTGTTGTTTCTAGAGATAACATCTAACCATGTGGTCATCTTAAAAAAAAAGTGCAATATTATCATTTAGCAAGATAACCGAAATGTTCATTTTACTTGTACCCTCTATGGATTTCTCTGTGGGTATTTTGTTTCTCAGATTTTTTATCATTACTGTTATTTTGCTTTTCATGTTACTGAGCTGATCCTTCTCTCTGCATACCTTCATCTGTTTGCATGTATTTACTCCTATTCTTCATCTTTGACACCTCTCATGGTCAGCTCCAAAAGCCTTGCACCATGGCCCTCCAAAGTGCCTCCCCACCAACATGGAGTCTGATTGCTTTTAACTGTCTTTGTTAATATAATGATAATGATAATAATGATAATAATAATAATGATAATAAACTGGCTTTATTTTAGCACTAAGATTTGCAGAGTGCTTTATATATGGCATATCATTTAATAACCTCATTTAAACTCTTGAGGCAGCATGTTGAAGGGATGGACAGCTGGTCTCAAAGACCTGGGTTCGAGTCTTTTCTCTAGTGCATACTAGGGGTGTGATCCTGAGCACCTAGGCTACAAGGCTATAAAGTGTTGAGAAAGTGTTGATCTGCACTGATAAAGGGAGGTTCCTTATCAGGGAGTTCTCTAAGCCAAGGAAATCTAAGGGTTTTGTCACTACCCCTGTCCTGACTTTAATTGGATATGATGGGGAAATGAGAGGAAAGAGTCAAAAGTGAATTCAGGGTTTTGAACCTGGCTCTAGAAAGGTGGTGGTGTCCTCGATGAAAAAATTAAGAAGAATAGAGGGTTTGGGGGCAGGGGGAGGTAGAGAGAGAATAAATTCTGTAATAGACATTAGATCATAAATTTAGTTCTGGAAGAAACCTTAGAGTCACCTACTCTAACCTCCCCATTTTACAGATGAACTGAGTCCCAGTGAAATGGAATGATTTGTCCAAGACCACCCAGCTAGTAGGTGGTAAGGGCAGGATTTGAATCCAGCTCCATTGGCGTTAGCCCTGACATGCCTTCTATCCCACCATGCTGCCACCTATATTCAGTTTGAGGTGTCTATGGGTCACCTAATTGGAGATGGAATTGGGGGCCCATGTCACCAATTCCATCTCCAATTAGGTGATCCATAGACAGAGGAGAGAGATCAGGGTGGGCTGCATGGATCTGAGATCATAGATATGTGATAATATATTAAATAATAATTATATATAAATTAATATAACATAATATACTGTTAGTATAATAAAATAAGAGATCATAGATTTTAGAACTGGAAAGAACCTTAGAAGTCACCTAGACCAATCCTTCATTTTATAGGTGAGTGACCAAGGACCAGAGAAGTGAAATGATTTTCCTAAGATGATGTAGGAAGCAAAAAGGAGAGCCAGGATTTGAACTTGGGGCTTTTGACTCCAAATCTCTTTCCCTTGTATGATGCTGCCACCCAATTGTAAATACCCCATACGCTAGAGATTAGATAGACAGATAGATCTATATAGATCTATATTATATGGAGAGAAGAAGAGACAGAGACAGAGGGGAGAGACAGAGACGGGGGGAGAGAGAGAGAGAGAGAGAGAGAGAGAGTTAGAGTTGAACCATGGGAACTGATGAGACCACCCAAAGGTCAGGACAGAGGGGTTGGGATATGGGTGATGATCCAGGGAAGGAGAGTATAGAATAGCCAGAGAGGTCAGAGGACACTCAGGAGTGAGCAGTGTCATGAAAACGTAGGGAGAAAAGAGGTTCTAGGGGGTGGGGAGTTTAATGGTGTCAACTGGAGCAGAGATGCTTGTTGAATGAATGAATGAATAAATAAATGGGTCGTAGACAGTATGGGGGCAGCTCGGTGGCACCATAGTGGTTAGAATGCTGAGTGGCCTGGAGTCAGGAAGACTCATCTTCCTGAGTTCAAATCTGGCCTCACGCGTACTAGCTGTGTGTTTCCTTCTTTCTGATGTGCCAATCCTTTATTTGGTATCATCCTTTATCTCTTATAATTTTTCCTCTTTTCTACCATTACGATAATAGGCTCACATTTCTCCTGGACCTTCTCCTGGCCCTCTCCTTTTCACTTACTCCTTTGATCTCCCTCTTTTTAGTGGGAAGGATCTTAGCTTAAAAAGGCCAAGGTCTCCCGCTGCATCTGAAGCCATTTCCAGTCATCCTGATCTATATCTGGCCGCTGGACTCAGATGGCTCCAGAGGAGAGAGTGAGGCTGGTGACTCTGCACAGCCCTGCCTCACTTACATCCAATTCCCCTGCATGTTATGACATCACCTTCCTGATGTGGTCCTCTTTGAGGATGAAACACAAACAACAATCCTAGTGACATACTTATTCACAACCTTTGGCCGTTATTGGAACATAATTAGAACCCCAGGACAGGGTTGTGTCCTGCCCTAATGCAGCTTTGTGTGCCAAGTGTCTGTCCCATGTTCCACAGGTAACTTGGAGCCTAGAACCGTGGCCAGCAGAACAAGCCCCCAGACTCCTTCCGTCTCTTCTGGTCAGTGATTCCCATACCCCAGCCTTAGTCCGGAGGGAGGGATCTAGGGCACCATTCCAATGGGGGTGGGCAGGAGGGTTTTGGCAGGGAGACACACCCTGTGGAGCCATTCTGAGAGTGAGGTGATAGGATCTGGCTCTTCCCCCCTTTTCTCCTTCCTCCCATACCCACTCACAGCTGTTCCTCCCTAATCCCTTAGGAATCAGCCTAGAACAGCAGCGAACCTTGGGTTTAGGAATCTAGAGACCTGTGTTCTCACATCACAGGATCTCGAGCTGGAAAGATCTGGACCTGAGAATATCTAGCACAATCCCCGAATTTTCCCCTCTTTGGACTATCTTGTTTCCTCAACCTTAGAACACACACTGGACACATTCCCTTCTATTCCTTAGCTCACATCATTCAATTAAACATTTTGGGCACCACCCCACTCCCTACGCAGCATATTCCCCTCCACCTCTCTGCTTTTCCCAATAGAATGTAAGCTCCTTGAAGGCCAGGAACCAAGAGGCAGCCAAGTGGCTGGGGTCACCCAGGCAGTGGTGAACCAGTAGCATGGCATGGTGAAGTGGATAAAGGGCTGAGTTTGGAGTTAGAAAAACCCACGTTCTAGCTGTGTGACCCTGGGCAAGTCACTTAAACTCTTGTTTGCCTCAGTTTCCTCATCTGTTAAATGAGTTGGAGAAGGAAATGGCAAACCACTCCAGCATCTCTGCCAAGAGAACCCCAAATGGAGTCAGGATCCAACAACAAAGGCTAGCTACTATTACTATTAGGGTGTGGCTCTTTCCTTTGTGGCTCTTTCATCTGTACAATGCTTTGCACAGACTAGGCCTTTATGAGTGTTTTATGCTGTTCTGGTTCAGCCGTTTTTTTTCAGTCCTGTCCAACTCTCCGTGACCCCATTTGGGGTTTTCTTGGCAAAGATACTGGAGCCATTTGCTATTTCCTTCTCCAGCTCATTTTACAGATGAGGGACTAAATTGAATTGAAACCAAGACCAGGGAGAGAGAGCCATAGAGTAGAAAGAGGGCTGGATTTAAAGTCAAAAGCCCTGGGTTCAAATCTTATCTCTTCCACTCCCTACCTGTTGGACCTTGGCAAATCCATTTCCTGGGCCTCAGTTTCCTCACGTTTGCCAAATCAGGGAGTTGGTCTAGAACTCTAGGTGGCCAAGATGACTTTGGAAGGCAGTAGGTCAGAGTGGGTGGAGTGCTAATTGTGGTTGTTGTAGCTAAGTGTTAGGGATGCAAACAAAAAGAAAGACAGTCCAGGTGGCCCTTAAGGAGCTTACTTTCTAAGGGAGAAAGACAGCTGATGAAAAGGGAGGACTGCAAGAAGGCCCTCTGGCCCTGACTTTCTTTCTGTCTTCCCCAGGTGAGGAGGAGTGGAATCCCTTCAAAAGCAGTGAGTCATTCTTCCAGACTCGGGACCCAGAGATGGAGAGGGGGCAGGAAAACCAAAGGGGCTTCTTCCCCTTCTGAATCCTCCACACCTGACCCCCTCCCCCCTTCTCTCTCTTGCAGATGAATATACGCTCCGAAAGAGGGGCTTAATTGCAGCTGCTGTACTCTTCATCACAGGCATCCTCATCCTCACCAGTAAGAAGGAGGGAAAGCTGGGAGGCGCATAGCTCCCGGGTCTAGGCTGGGGAGGGACAAGAGGTTTGCCTGGGTGTCAGGGGCCCCGCATTCACGTATCAGCTCTGTCCACCCTCTGTTCTGTGATCTGGGGGCCAATCCCTACTCCGCCTGTGGGGTGAGGCTTCCCATCTATGACCCAAGGACCCGACCCCATGAGTGGGATTTACTTTCTGGTTGTCACCCAATTCCTCTCAGGCGATCGGTGCCGCCACTTCCGCTGGTGCAGAAGGCAGCAGCGAAGGTGAGACCATGGACAATGTGTGGGGGGAGTGGGATGCCTGGGAAGATCACCGGGGTGCCAGAGGTGGGAGGGGGGAGATCCTTCCTCTCACTGCCTCCTTTCTGTGCACTCCTGTCCCTTCAAAGTGCCTACAGGGTGACCCAAGCCTGAGGTCCCAAACTCTAATGGAGAGGTGCCAAAGGAACCGTAGCGGTGGAAGGAACCCCCAGACTCTGACCAACCCTGAGACTCAGGGAGCTCTGGGAAGAAAGTACCACTGACCAGCCCTTTGTGTGGCTTCTCATCATCATAACCTCTTTCTCAAGAAGGCACCCCAATTTCTAGGTCTCCCTGGTCTCTGACATCCCCCCCGCCAAGATCCCAAGTTTCTCAGCACTTAGCTTGGTACCAAACGCTCAATAAACATTTGCGGGACAAATGGATGAATGAATGTTGGTTCTTGACCCGGCATCTCCTCTGCTGAGCAGATCTGAAGGGATGAGGTTCAGGGGGATGAAGCCAAGAGAAAGGACCAGAGCCTTGTCAGTGGATGGCATCCACACTTTGCACCCAGAGTCCTGCTTTAGCTGAAAACTGAGTTATCTCCCTAATTCTAGGGAATTCTAGGAGAATACTGTAGCATTAAAGAGATTTGGTCCCCAAGAGTTACCTGGAAAGCCACAGAGAGCTGCGGGCCACCTCCACCTGTCCCCCACCCCCAGGCCTGGGCCCTGTTAGACAGAGGGGGGAGGGAGCGCCCAAAGCTGGGTGGGGGGGTCCTCAGAGGGGTCAGGTATAGGGGCGTAAACATTGCACTTGAACAAGGAAATGGGCTGAGGACTTTGGCAACCGCTTCTGGAGGGAGCCAGGGACCGTCCTAGGGCTCTCACTATCAGAGCTCTAATTTGAAGAAAAGTAGATGAATAGAAAACCATCTTCCCTTCCCTCCTCCTCCCCAGCACTCATGGCTGGCACCTGCACTTCAGGGGACAGCCGGCCTGGCTCCCCGATGCTGCCGTGTCATGCCAGAGGCCCTAAGCCTGGCTCTTTGGCATGTGATTCCGGGGAGGAGGAAGAGGAGGAGTGAAAAGGAAGCTTCTGGGGGCACGCAGACAGAGCTCCCTAGGTTTGAGCAGTTTACATTCCGTGGAATTCGGGGGAGGAGATATTTAAGTCTAAATAGATAGATAAAGAAAATAAGATAAGAGGGTGAGTGATGAGAGAGGGAGAAAGGGGGAGGGAGAGAGAAAGAGAGAGAAGAGGAGAGACAGAGGGGGAGAGAGAGAGGGAGAGAGAGAGGAGGAGAGAGAGAGAAGAGGAGAGAGAGAGGGAGAGAGAGGGAGAGAGAGGAGAGAGGGAGAGAGAGATAAGAGGGTAGAGAGAGGAGAGAGAGAGAAAAGGAGAGAGAGGAGGAGAGATAGAGAGGGAGAGAGAGAGAGGAAGAGAGAGAGAGAAAAGGAGAGAGAGGAAGAGAGAGAGAAGAGAGAGAGAGAGGGAGAGAGAGAGGAGAGAGGGAGAGGAAGAGAGAGAGAGAAGAGGAGAGAGAGAGGGAGAGGGAGGGAGAGAGAGGAGAGAGGGAGAGAGAGATAAGAGGATAGAGAGAGGAGAGAGAGAGGAAGGGAGAGAGAGAGGAGAGAGGGAGAGAGAGAGAGGGAGAGAGGAAGAGGAAGAGAGAGAGAGAAGAGGAGAGAGAGAAGAGAGAGGGAGGGAGAGAGAGAGGAGGAGAGAGGGAGAGAGAGAGAGGGAAAGAGGGAGAGGAAGAGAGAGAGAGAAGAGGAGAGAGAGGGAGGGAGAGAGAGAGAGAACTAATAATGGGAGAGGATCAGGAAAGGAGGAGGACCTGGGTTCAAATGTTTCTTAGCTGTGTGTCCTTGGGAAAATCACTTGACCTTTCTAGGCCTCTGTTTCCTCATCTGTAAAAGGAAGAAGTTGGATTCAAGGTTGTCTAAGGTCCTTTCCAGGTCTTCGATCCTATGAGTCTTACCTTCAGGTGAGGTACAGTCTAACTAGGAACACACACACACACACACACTCACACACACACACTCTCACGCACCTACATACACACTCACACACATACCTACATACAAACACTCACACACACTCACACACCTACATACACACTCACACATATACACACACACTCACACACACCTACATACACACACACACACATACACCTACATACACATTCACACCTACATACACACACACACCTACATACACATTCACACACACACACTCTCACACACACCTACATACACACTCACACATATATACACACACTCACACACACCTACATACACATTCACACCTACATACATGTTCACACAT